TATAATGTATGCTATACGAAGTTATTACGCACCGTTGATACTTTCGTCTGTACTCTCTCTCTCTCTCTCTCCCTCCTCCTACTACTCTCTCTCTCTCTCTCTCTCTCTCTCTCTCTCTCTCTCTCTAAATTGTAACACTGGACTATTAAGAGTTTCGAGTCTATCTTGTAATGATTAATAATTTCTTAATTTATAATAACTTACGTTTATATTCGTTTATATTTTGTTCAATGGAAAACATTTAATTGAGCGGTTAGATCAGCAATATTTGCTTTTTTAACCACGACAATATGGGACTGTGGGAAAGCTTATGTGAATTACGAATTAGTCCGTTAATATTTTCAATGTCAATTAATTTTGTAATAAAATGCATCTGCTTAAAAATATATCCCATTTTGGCAATAAAACTACGTCTTGTGTGTTTTAATAATTACACAAAAATATTTAAAATTTTGCACATTACCTTCAGAAAACACAGATTATGCAATGTGCGAAAATTTTCTAAGAATTAGATACAATTATCAAGGGAGTATAATTAAAATTTATTTAATTAAATTAATTTAAAAAATCGACGAAATAAATTCGGAAGCTCAATTATTTCAATTCCAGTTGAGTTCTAATTAGAAAAACACGATTTGGCAGAGCCAATTAAAGTTTGAAATTGTATAACCATTGTGTTTCCTGAATATGGATTTTACATAATTGAATAAAAGAAATTGAAAATATATATGTGAAAATAATATGTGATTTTTAAATGACTGAGTATACTTTCATATTGAATTTTTCAGTATATTTAGGTATACTATCACCTTACAGTACATAAACATCAACTTAGATATATAAAAAGTTTTTTATCAAACAGACCTGTTAAAAAGAGTGTCAAAGTCATCAAAATCTCGTTGAAAACGATTTATTAGATCCCATTTTTATTAATATCTTTGTACACACAGTACATAATATATAAAGGTTTTACCTATTAAAAAGTAATATGGAAATTAGTATAAAAATTGTTGGACATATCGTAATGCTCACGTCATGTATATTTATTACAATATTATTTCGACGACACGGTTGTGTATACGATAAAATCATGATTTCCTTTCTCCGCACTTATGTGAAATAAATACGTAAGTATTAGGAACTAAATGTGGTGACGATCATATCCTTTTAACTCTGAAAAGGAATTGCATCATTATGTATAACTTAATTATTTATCTTTCAGCAGAGGTATGTGTAAAAATTCATGTTAATATATATACATATTTATGCAACGGAAATGCTTTAAAAACGAAAAGAAAAAAAATATTGACTTTCCATGCATTTCCATAATAATTAAGTTCACGTTACGAGACTAAACTATGAAAAGAAGCTACTTTCCTGCTGAATGGACACTCAGCGACTTAGCTTGCATCACTTTAAACTTCCAAAAATTAAATGCTTACGTATTGTTATGATGACATGTACATGTCAGCATAACAATACGTAAGCATTTAATTTTTGGAAGTTTAAAGTGACGCACATACATGTATCATTAGACATGCATCATTATATGTAAATAAGCACACATAAAGTACTTACTTATCTAATTGCTTAAGAAATAAATAAAAGCGTCTTACAAAATTGTAAAGTAAGAAAAGAAAGTGCTCAGAGCTGAAAAATAAAACTGTTAACAATTGTTCGCACTGTTGTACTTGGACGAAAAAAATACGCTTTGGCGTCGCAAAATCCTGTGAAGGAAAATTCTTCTTAAGTACCGTAAACCGTACAATAAATGCACCTTTCGCATCGCTATAACATCGACAAAAGCACGCGACGACAATGAAAGCGATCGGCTATGAGATTCTCATTTCCGACTAGCGTCGGAATCACAATCGGCAACCGTCGCAGAGTATATTGATACAACTCGAAACACGCAGAGTCTTTGAAAATTCGTCACGTTCACATAGATTTTATATGCATATATCGTAACCATTATATATGAACACAATATAGAACATTTACACATTTTATAAGTTAACGCATTTATATCTTATAAGTACAATAATCTTCTTATAATTTTCGCAAAGTTGCCCTTCTCTATGGATTACTTTCGACGACTGTTTCTCCCGCTTAGCAATCTCGTCTTAAATAATTAAGGCGTTATCTATCTTGAAAAATTAACGATGTTCAAAGTATCTGACAGACCTGTTGGTGTTTATTGAGAGTTTAATCGGATATATCAAACACACACACACACAGATACGTGCCCAAGTATTATTTGTATCTGATTATCAATTCATCGCAACGTTTAATAAACGTGGGATTATTGCTCACATGTTTTGAAAGATATTACAAGTTTTGAGAAAAATATTGAAAATTGGCAGTTGCTCCAATAGCATGTGAGCAATAATCCCACGTTTATTGAACGTTGCGATGAATTGATGATCAAATACAAATTGATACTTGGGTATCAATCAATAGCACGTATCTGTTGATATATCCGATTAAACTCTTTGACTCAGGCGACTAAACTCTCAATAAACATCAACAGGTCGCACTGTCAGATACCTTAAACATCGTTAATTTTTCAAGATAACGCCTTAATTATTTAAGACGAGATTTTGCAAAGCGGGAGAAACAGCCATCGAAAGTAATTCATAGAGAAGGGCAACTTTGCGAAGATTATAAGAAGATAACGCCTAACTCGCCGGGTCGTGTAAAACTTTGCTCAGCGTCGCCGCAGGATCCTCCGCAACTTTCGCCTGTTGCACGATCTCTCGGCGATTATTTCACGAATTGCCAACTGTCAAATTGCTGTTCAGCAGCTCGGTGTTGGCGTTGTTCGCTGCCAGCTGCTGCTGCTCCTTCTGCTTCTTGCGCCGCCTGCGGTTCCGTTTGTGCACGCAGAACAACGCGACGAAGACCACGAAGAGGAACACCGAGACGCATGAGACTACCAGTATCCACACCGATCGGGCCTTCTCGGTTTCTACCTTCTGCTGGATGATGACCGAGCACGTGTTGTACAGCTCGTATGTCCGATTGCTGAATTGGACGTTGATGATTGCACAGTCGTTGGTCGCGGCGCACTTGACAAAGTCCGAGTTTACGTTGATCTTGCGTTCCTTCAACCAGGCGGTCATTGTCTGGCACTCGCAATTACCGTCGTTAAATCGAATTGGATTTCTGGACAGATCGAGCGCTTTTAAGGAGCAAAACGGTGCCAGGTCCTCGGTACTGACCGTGGTGATGACGTTGTCGGACAGATTGAGAGTTTGGAGGGTCGGTATAAAGCCGATATTCGGAATCTTTGTGAGCTTATTCTTCGTCAGTTGTAGCATCTTGAGAGGCGAGTTCACTTCCATCTTGAACACGGAGTCGGTGAGTTTGTTGTTACCGAGGTAGAGCGTGCGGAGATGCGGCAATTGAAAAAGGCTTTTCGGCACTTCGTCACAACCGTTCTTCGAGAGATCCAATACCTCGAGATAGTGTTGATTACGAAAAGCCGCTTCTTCAATGTTCTGGATAAAATTGTCACCCAAGTAGAGATAAACTAAGCTCTTGAAAGGCGCCAGAGTGTCGTTTCTCAAATCCCTCAGTCGATTCACGGTAATATCCAGCACCTAAGTAGAAGAAGAATATGTTTCCCGACAACACGTACGTACAATATATATAATATAGAGATCATAGAAAATGGAACGTAAGCTTTTAAAGAAATATTTGTAAAATATATATGTGAGCTTGTGACAAACCATTAAATTGAATTGGTGAATATTTCAATACTATATATAGATTAATATTGCATTCGGTAATTGATACATTAATTTATAATTACAATATTACTAATGAAAAACAAATATTATGCACGAATATTGTGCAAAAACATCTTGATATCGTACAATTCGCATTTTCGAAGGCATGCAGTGTATTATTAACAGAGTACTTAATCAGATTTCTGTCAGCAAAAACATTTCTGAATGAATAATGAATTCCGTTGAACGGAAAGGAGACGGGATTTATCAATGAGATCTTTGTTTCCGTAAAGATGCGCTTGTCAGATTGGCGGGCCGGCGAGAAGAATTAATAGTGCAGCTAACTCAATAATGCAAGGACGCAAAATATTAGGACAAGGAAAAATAATTTCTTTGACACGCCCTTTTGATACGTAAATGCGATGAAGAAATATGGCAGGAGATTTAAGTACCTTTTATTTATTATATATTAATTTAATAAAGCTCACACGATTGCCCGAATAGTCTCGTGACGTGAGAATCGTGAAAATTTAATCTCCAAGATTTATAATTATCGATGTTAATTATTTGAAATTAAATGAAAAGAAAAATTACAGTAAAATAATTAAAATACAAATTGAATTGAAAATATAAATTATCTATATGTCACTAAAATATTTCTTTTATCAGAACCTTCCAAAGTTCAATCATTTATAAATTAAATCTTGTATTTGAATATTTATCACTGTTCTTGATTTGCTTCATAAAATATTTTGTAGAATTAAGGACACTATGCTTTGGTCACGCTGACTGCATTGAACAGTTCACGTACGTGCACAAACACATTTTGAAATTAGTGTTTCTCATATTTCTGTGAATGCTTCTGTTACAATTTGTAGATGAACCAGCTTTGTCCATTGAATGTATAAACAGCTCTTTGTAAGCATGTTAATTCATACATGTGTAAATGTGATTGCTCTTCACGTGCTAGCATTTATATATAAATTCTCGTAAGCATGATATTATAAATTAATGGCATGATACTCTCATCAATGTAGAGATGAAAAAATGTAATGCCGTATTCTTTGACGTATTATCGATTTTCTCTTTATAAAAATTTGATTTGCGATATGATTCGCCTGCTTCAAAGAAAATCTATCAAAGTGAACTTAAGTAGATAGAAAAATAAAATTCTTTATATATCCGCGCTTAAAGATCCTTGTAAGGATTTTATAAATATTTCTATTGCAAGAGAAATCATTTTTCATCGCGAGAGGTGCCTGTTAAAGAAACATCAATTACGAATTGCTCAAAAGAATATTGATGGATGAGCGATGAAAATTTATCGCCTTCGAATTCCCGCCGGGACATGGCGTGTACAAGATCAAATACTGGAGTATTGGCAATATCTCTGCGCGGCTAAAATTTCTCAAGTGTATTGCGGAACGCATCCATCCTCGTGACCCTGGACAACCCAATCTCCGGATTTAGCATGTCTGGAGTTTTGCCTGGGATTCATCGGGGCAAGTTTACCAAAGTACCCAAGTACAGTTGCAGACGCACCGGGATTTGCGGGATGGGGTTGTATCGGACGGGCGGTTAAATAAAAAAAAAGGAAAAACAAAACAGACGGTTGGAAAATGTGTTTCACAAAGGGCTGGAAAGATTTAAGCTCTGGGGAGATGCACATGCGAAATAATACGGGAATATTTTGCTATAATGGAACTTCCTCAATTATAAAAGTTTATCACGCGGTTGACACCGCAAAAATAATCGAAAATGATTAATTATTAGCCACAAGATCTGGGAAACGTCGCCGTTGATAATAGATGAATTGCAGAAGCGAAGACGCGCAAAGATAGATTCATCATCATTTTACTGTTACACAAAGTCATCAAATGTATGCTTTGCTGAGAAAGAAGTAACATTAGGAATAAAATAATAATCAACAAAAATGCTCGCGAGAGAAGGTATCAACAAGTATAAAATTTATTGCCGACATTGATAAAGCGTAACTCCTGTAATGTTATTATGAAGTGCGCGTTGTAAAGCAGCGCACGCGTTAACCCGCCGGGACATCAATCCGTCTCGCAGCCAGCCTTGCGCATCCCTCGTGAAGCGAAGATTGCTAGATTTATCCTTTTGGCGGAAATAATGCGGAATAAATGAAGAGTAAGGAGTAGCCTGTGTACAATAATTAACTACCAATTTTTTTCACTTTATATGTGATCTCTTTAATAAGATAATAAACGATAAGCGTTAAAATAATAAGAGCATGACAATTGCGGAAAAAATATGTTCTCTTCAACTATAAATCCTTCCAAATAATCTTCTGAGAAAAAGGCAAAAAGAGCCGTTGCTAGTTCTTCGCGCAAAAATTACATTCATATTATAAATTTACAATGACAAACGTGTCTGCCTATGTTAGGCCTTCTTCATTGTGTCATTACAAAATAAAAAAAAAACATAATAAATGGTATCTCAAGTGTCGAAGCGTCTGGCAAACAAATAAAAGATTTTAATTGCTATAATTTTCAGGACTTATCATAAACTTATTATCATAAATCTTTACTCTACTTTATAGGAATAGTTGCGGATAATGAAAGGGGAATATTCGATGTAGAAGATAAAGTACGGCGATTCAGTAGCATCAGAAATGTGTATTGTAATTTAAAACGTCAGAATAAATGTAACAAATTCATTAACATTTTTAACGAAAGCTTACCTGTACGTCCTTATTCAGATTAAACGGGATGTTATCCAGTTCCATCTTGGAGCACTGCGCCTCGAGCATCGAATAGACTTTGCTGTAGGTGCATTTCTTTATCAGGACTGGGTTCCGGTCCACAATTTGAAGAACTCCACGCATGTCTGGAGGCAGGACATCCACGGCCACGACGAAGCCCAGTAACAGAAACCCATTAAAGAGAAGGATGCTCATGTCTGTAACAGAGTCAGCGAAAACGTACGTTTAAACTTTGGCCCGAATCGATCCACGATCGGAAAACTAATCGCTTCCGAATGCACGGGGTGGATAGAACATTCGGGGTTGATTTTTGCAACGACAATCGTCAATCGTGGCGTATCATTTATTATATATTTGCGTGTCGCAAGAAATTATTTTAACGCCGGCATTTTCACACCAGCGTTGGGAATATTTTTTTTACAACTCTTATCTCCGCTCCGACGAGGCTGGCCATTTTAATTTGAAAGATCCGCTCTTATAAGAGAGCGAGGGTCTTCTTTTAACTGCTTTAAGGCAGTTAAAGGAAGTTGATTAGCAGCACGGTGAGATAGTTTTAAAAAATTTGTGGAAACTTTTCCAATCACCTTCGAGCTATCTCCGTAATTCGTCCATTTACCTGCAAAACTCCAGTATTTCCGTAGCCTAATTAACCACCGTTTGAGAGAGTGAGAGAGAGAGAGAGAGAGAGAGAGAAAGAGAGAGAGAGAGAAAAAAGAGAAGAAAAATAAAATAAGGAAAAAAAATACCTCTGTGAACTGCGCCAAAGCTTCAGCTTCCGGCGCTCTTACATCTATTCGCGTTTGTCCGCTGAATGCTTTCTACATCAAGAGAGTGATTATTATAGTTCCAATAAATCGTTTCCGGTCGGGATCGATCGAGCGAGCGCGAACAAACATTTTCAGCGGTGCACCCATTACGGTATGCACCGAACCCGATGTCGTCAACAAAGTGTAATTGCGAGCGCTGACCTCTTATAGCCGGTTAAGTCGTCAGTGGAAATAGCTAGCCGACAATTCGGTCCGCTGCCGCTTACCGCCGGGGAAGTAATTTCCAGGTGGCGATTCCGACCTCGCGCGCACGGGTGGGGGAGAGAAAATTTCAGCTGCGTAAATTTTCGGACTTTGACGCCGAAGCGGAGTGAAATTAACGCGGCGGGGGCGGCGCAGGGTGGCGCAAAAGTTAACAGGCGAAAGTTAACAAGACTCCTCCCGTCTATTTCGCCGCGGTCATTTCTCGCCCCCGTTGTTGTAAAAGCGCAAAATTCGCACGCTGCGCCGAAGAGAGAAACGGGTGCCGCGAAAATGCCCCGCCCCGCCAGTAATCGCGTTTGTCACAAATTTCTCTCATAATAGATGTCATGTTATGTTTCACAGGGCGGGGAGATTAGGGACCTCAAAACATTTACCTTTTTCTGCTTGTAGTTGAGAGATTGCATTCGTAATAACCGCTTAAAATATCTTCAATGGAGTGAAACATAGTTAAAATGCGAGTTCGCAATCTTTGAGAGGATTCGAATATTAAATCCATGCCGTTGCACTTCACGGAAGACAATCTCGAATGCCTTGTAATCGCGAACTTTTAGATGTGTTTGTAAACTCGCTCATAAAAAAATTATAAAACATCAAGCGCAATCTTGTTCAATACGATCAATGTGCGCAAAAATGTGTGATTCAAATATTCGAGATGATCTCATGCAATCAATGCATTCGTGTTCTCGCGTTCATCAGTTTCTCAATTCTATATTGTAACGACCTAGTCGGAAAATTATGTGGAAAATGGAGATGAATTATTTTTAGTAATAATTTGCAAAATAATAATTAGTAATCTAATAATTTGCAAAATAAGGAAAAGATAGAACGAGAGAGAGAGAGAGAGAGAGAGAGAAAGAGAGAGTACCTTTCGTTATGTTCATGATGTCGAAACTAGTCTTCGAGGTGAACCGCGTTTCTGGATTCTCTATTTCCACGTCTGTTCTTAATGAGATACCAAACTCGCAGACAAGCGAGATTAGCTTGTATACAATTCCGTTTTCAGACGAGATTTCCTCTCATAACTCTAATGATTCGAGTTCATCGACTACCTTTGGTTCTTCGAGTCAGCTTTCTTTCTCCAATTTTCTTCTAAATTTGCCGGTCTTCGCGGAACCACGGCTCGAGCTCTAACTAAAATTACCTTCCCTACTTTTGCCACCTGTTTCCTGATTCCCTCCCACCTCCTCTGTCATTATCTCTATCTTCTCCGTTTCTCTTCCTTCCTCTCCCACTCTTCCTCTCAACGTCCGGATCGTCCTACATAATAATATTATGTAGGAGTTTTTAAATTCCTCTCATTTCGTATATATGTATATGTTCGTATATATGTATATGTTCATCCTTATTGTAATGTGTTGCTCTGCTCGTTAACGGCAGCGGCCGTTAAGATCGCTGGTAATGTTTTTCTTTTAAACGAGAGCGAAGCGTTTTCGGCGCTTCGCCTATAAAACGGGTGTCACACAGAGTCGGGCGCGAGTGAATAAGAACAGAGAATCGCCTGTGAGATAGCGAAAAGTGAGATAGATAAATCGTATTGCGAGTCATAGCGAGCGTTGTATACAAGTGGAGAACATTATTCATTTTATTTTTTTGTACTTATTGAACCGAATTATAACTTTTAATTCTTTAAAAGTGTGTGATCTCTGGCCTGCATTTTATCCCTACGATTATATTATTTTTTATTATTATTATATTCTATTTTAAGATTTTATCACAGGAATCGCCCGTCGTGCGACATCTCGTATATCGAGCTTGAAAATTTCGCCGTTCTTCGCCTGCTGCTAACAAGCCACTTTGCGAAGTGCGGCTATTGCGGATTTTTATCGTGGGATTTATTGCGCATTTCGATGAGATAAAAATTTCATAGCGCTCTACTTGCTATCCTGAGAGCCCGATATTATAGCGGAAACTGCATCTCAACCATAATTAAAATTAAATTGCAGTTAGCTAAGACGAAAGTGCTCTCTTCGCCAAAAGCTTAATAGCATTGCGTAGGATGCAGCGGCGAACTGGAGGAAGGAAGATGATGCGCCTGCAACTCGCCGCTTGTATAAAGGACGACGGCGACGAGGTCTTCGCCGACTTCCGTACATCTCACGCTCATTTGCCCGCATTCGAAAACGTTATTAATACAAATTGGAACGGCAGAGAGAGAGAGAGAGAGAGAGAGAGAGAGAGAGAGAAAGTCTCTCTTTACAGAATTCTCTCGCTGAGCCTTCCTCCCCAATACAACATCTTGATAATCAAACTTACTTCTTTGAGAGCTGCGATATCTCGCTCTCTCCTCGCTCTTCATTCATTTTACCAAGTAAAGTGGAAAGAATTATAAATCTATTAAATTCTGAAATTATCAGATGATATTACTTACGGGATATTTTCTGTTTGGTCGACCATCTATGAATTACACAGAATAATTGTATAACATTTTGCAAAACTAAATTAATAACGAGTATTAACACACTTTGATTTTCTTTTGTTTCGCGTTTCTTTACGATAAATCTTACATTCGTATTGAAAGAAAATAGTGCATGTTGTTTCAACTAATGTTTACGCAAGATGCTAAATATTTGCTATATATATGTATATGTATATACTTATCTACTTTTTCAAAGTGCTTTCGAATAACATCGAGAAATATGAAGAGCTACTTTTGAGATATTAAAGCATTCCTTTTCATCAAATATTTCTGTTGGCAGTTGGCAGATACTTCCTTTTCGAGAGCTTGATAACAATATTGGTATAATATCACTAGAAAGCGCTTAAAAGTTTTCGAAAGCTTTTTACCCGATCATACAGTGATACCTTGTATTACTATGTTAAAGAACTGAAAATGCGGAATGTTCCATTTACGAATTGTTATAAAGCGTTATTTATGACTAAATACGTCTGGATATTAATTTGTTGTTTTGCATTCACGTTTAATGATCTGTAAAAGCAATAAATAATATATCCACAACGGTAATACATTTCACGCTGGTAGTGTTACGAGCGCTTTCATTTCAGTCCGCAGGTAGAGAGCAAATATGATTTAAAAGTACATTCTGCAATATAAATGGAGGATATATCTCGTTAAATCACGGGACAAGAGTCGAAATGACCGAATTGAATGTAATATCGCGGAACTAAAAATATCTGAAACGTTTCGCTACACGGAAATTAGCAAATATCGCTTTTTAATTCTCATTTGACCGAGTTGCTTGCGATAAAAACCAATTAAAAATGTAAAATAAGCGGAAAACGATTAATTTGTAAAATAAGATAGTGTAACTCGGAAAATATACCAATCTAGCACCGAACACTGAAAAAATTAAATCCCATCCTTTCTGCCATTTAATTGCTCTTTTTAATTATTTTAATTTATTATTTATTTATTACGCCTTTTCAAACCAGTCGCCTAAAAAAAAAAAAATTTATTTCGGAGATAAGGAAAGCTACTCGAGAAATAAATAATTGAATAATTGAAGTAATTAGTTTACAAATTTGCCAATTTCGTACTTTTGTCGATACCGTGAGATTCGAAACTTGATTCCACCGACAATAAAGCAGCGTAGCGCACACCGACGTTCTGCTGGAAACTTATTTCCGGTGCGTACGCTGCTGGGGGAAACAGAGAAGGAGAATCCGTTTACAAGACCGTGATTCACAACCCGTGCAGTTTGCAAGTTTTGAAAGAAGACGACACGGTGTTTATTGTGCCAAGATCTGATGAACTGCAGAGATGGTAGCGAGTTTCAACCGACCTACGTTGCTTATCGACGGTTGTGACTTCGTATACCTTGCTGTTGATATTCGTACGACGAAATGAATCGGGTTTATGCGGAGCGCTCGTGTAACACAAGCACCAAGTTTCGAACAGTTGTAAAATAGACATATATGCAAAACAAATGTCCTAATTCGACAGTGAAAGAAAAAAACAACGAGATTGAAAGAAAGTTTATTTATAAAATTTAACCGAAAGATATATTTATAACATTGATATTAAAATAAATGATTGGCAAATATTATTAATGTTTACACATTTTGTAATTTATTTAGACATTTTTATTCAATTTTCTGAAAAGTTAATTTTAAACTGATAATATTTATAGATATCTTTCACAATTTTTGAATTATTATTTTAGAAACCGAAAAAGAGATGTCATTATCCTTGGACATTTTTAAACTAA